CAATGATGGGGCACTATTCCTCCCACTGACACCAATGATGGGGCACTATTCCTCCCACTGACACCAACGATGGGACACTATTCCTCCCACTGACATCAGCGATGAGGCACTATTCCTCCCACTGACACCAATGACGTGGCACTATTCCTCCCACTGCAAAATTACAGTTATGAAGTAGCAACGAAAATAATTTTATGGTTGGGGGTCACCACAACATGAGGAACTGTATTAAGGGGTCGCGGCATTAGAAAGGTTGAGAACCACTGCTTTAAAGCATTCACTTAATCTGATTTTGAACAATGAAAACCAAACTCAACTCATCTTAAAGCTTCTTATATAGAGAGTTGCAAGTCATTTGCAATAATGTATTAATGGAAACGGAAAAAAAATAAATGACAGGCTCTTTTCATATTAACTTGAAAGAATATGCTATTTATTTGAGTACAGCCTCATGTTTTATATCTATACAAACATTCATTCATTCATTATTTTGTATTTTTGAGAATCAAATAAAAGATGGCTTAGAAGAGACCAAAACATTTCTATGGGAACTTGCATAATACAGTGCCAACAATTGGTTTATTTCCTTTTAGCACAGACCCAAATAAACACAACTCATCCTGATCCACACAAGCAGTATTCAGCATAGCTGACACAAACTGAGATTGGGACATTTCCCATCTGTAGCGTGAGAATTGGGACCCAGTAAGACATGCGTGCTGCAAAGAAGAACATTGTGCAAATGGGAATGTGGTTTGTACAGTATATGCTTGCCCAATTATGCTGTAGAGTTCAGGAAAAAAGGGATGTCTGCTCAAAGGCTAAATCCACCTTTTGCAACAACAACAAAAAAATGCACATATTTGAAGCAAAAACAATGCATATAAATTATTATTGCAAATGTAATCATGAGTACTAGAGATGAGCGAAGTATTCAAAAATTCGATTCGGCTGATTCGGCGAATTCGAGGAATAAATTCGATTCAATGCGAATATATTCGCTGCGAATTTAACTTATAAAAAGAGTGTTTCTAGGCTTCAGAGAGCCTTTATATTAGTGCAGAACACTGTACCTTTAATTTAAATGCCCTTGGAGTCTGCTGGGGAAGAGAAATATTACTGTCAGTCAGTATGACATGCAGATGAGTGCCGTCGATCTTAGAATCACCGCACACTTCACTCATTTGGGCAGTCACGGGGCCAAAACCAGAGTGTGGAGCCACAGTGTGGCGGTGGAGGCAGCAGCAATGGGAGGCCATACAGCACCCTATGACAAAATGGAACCCACCAGCAGTGTGAGGAGACCTGAAAGTGGCACATGGCAGAGTGTGGCGATGGAGACAGCAGCAATGGGAGGCCGTACAGGGACCCATGAGACACTCTGGACCTGGCAGCAGCATGAGGAGGCGGTACGGGGGCCCATGGCAGATTACGGGCCTGGCAGCAGCAATGGGAGGCCCGTAATCTACCAGCACCCTATGACAAAATGGAACCCACCAGCAGTGTGAGGAGACCTGAAAGTGGCACATGGCAGAGTGTGGCGATGGAGACAGCAGCAATGGGAGGCCGTACAGGGACCCATGACACACTCTGGACCTGGCAGCAGCATGAGGAGGCGGTACGGGGGCCCATGGCAGATTACGGGCCTGGCAGCAGCAATGGGAGGCCCGTAATCTGCCAGCACCCTATGACAAAATGGAACCCACCAACAGTGTAAGGAGACCTGAAAGTGGCACATGGCAGAGTCTGGCGATGAAGTCAGCAGCAATGGGAGGCCGTACAGGGACCCATGACACACTCTGGACCTGGCAGCAGCAAGAGGAGGCGGTACAGGGGCCCATGGCAGAGTGGCGAAGCGTAAGCAGCTTAAATTGAAGGCCATACAGAGGCCTATGTTAAAAATAATAACATGTTTGGGGCATGATTCATGGCGGATTTAGTCAGTTGTGTCAGGAACTGGTGGTTTGAAATCCAGACTAATCCACGCCTGATTCATTTTCACAAACGTGAGTCTCTCCACACTTTGGGTGGACAGTCATGTCCTCCGCGGAGTTACAATACCTCCTGCCGCACTAAACACGCGCTCCGATGCCACGCTACTGGCCGGGCATGACAGCCTTTCAAGGGCAAATTCAGCTAGTTGGGGCCAAAGGTCAAGTTTCGTTGCCCAGTAGTCAAGGGGATTGTCTACCTCGGTTGGCAGGGTGCTGCCCAAGTAGGCCCGAGCCTGTTGTTTGAGGTCCTGCTCCAGCTCCACCTGATGCTGCTGCTGCTGCGGCTGGTTAGTAGTTTCCTCACTGCGCTGGTGAAGAAAGCTACTCATCATCGACTGCAGACTGAGGCAGCTGCTGCTGGTGGAGCTGCCACTGCTCCTACCACCCCACCCCTCCCCTGCTGCCATGGCAGCGGAACGCGAGTGCACAGGGCCCACAGTGTCTGAGGATGGACGTTGGCGCAGAAAGGCAGAGACCAACTGACTACATAGGTGGTTTTTATAGTACGTTATTTTGGCCTCCCTCTCAGCAGGTGTGAAAAAGGCCACCATTTTTGAACGGTAGCGAGGGTCCAACAAGGTGGACAGCCAAAAGTCATCCCTCTGTCTGATGGTTATTATTCGGCTGTCGCTACACAAGCAACCGAGCATGCTATGGGCCATTTGTGCCAAGGAATGCGAGGGACTCCCCCTGCCTCCATCTCCACAGCATACTGCCACGGTGCGTCTGGGTCCTCTGTCTCCTCCTCCTCCTCCTCTACCAGATGCTCCTGCTCCTCCACTCCTGTCCGCTGAGTGGAAAAACCACCCATTTCACTCAATAATTCCTGAGCACCAATGTCCTCCTCTACCTCCTCCTCTTCTTCCTGTCCTGCCCCCACAGGGGTCATGTGGCGTTGAGATCTGTGCGCCACGTCTACCGCACCCTGACCAGCCATTGTTAACAGCATTTGTTCCAGGACGTGCAACAGAGGAAATGACATCGTTTCATCCCATAGTCCTGCCGACTCACGAATAGCGTGGCCTCCTCAAAGGGTCTGAGCAAGCGGCAGGTGTCACGCATGAGCTGCCAATGGCTGACATCTAAGTTACACAGGGGAGTACCTTTATATCCGCTTGTAACATCAGGAAATCGGTGATGGCCTTTCGCTGTTCGTAAAGGCGGTCTAACATATGTAGGGTTGAATTCCACCTTGTTGCAAACGTCACAGCATGAGGAGGCGGGTACAGGGGCCCATGGCACATTACGGGCCTGGCAGCAGCAATGGGAGGCCCGTAATCTGCCAGCACCCTATGACAAAATGGAACACACCAGCAGTGTGAGGAGACCTGAAAGTGGCACATGGCAGAGTTTGGCGATGGAGACAGCAGCAATGGGAGGCCGTACAGGGACCCATGAGAGACTCTGGACCTGGCAGCAGCATGAGGAGGCGGTACAGGGGCCCATGGCAGATTACGGGCCTGGCAGCAGCAATGGGAGGCCCGTAATCTGCCAGCACCCTATGACAAAATGGAACACACCAGCAGTGTGAGGAGACCTGAAAGTGGCACATGGCAGAGTGTGGCGATGGAGACAGCAGCAATGGAGGCCGTACAGGGACCCATGAGAGACTCTGGACCTGGCAGCAGCATGAGAGGCGGTACAGGGGCCCATGGCAGATTACGGGCCTGGCAGCAGCAATGGGAGGCCCGTAATCTGCCAGCACCTTATGACAAAATGGAACCCACCAGCAGTGTGAGGAGACCTGAAAGTGGCACATGGCAGAGTGTGGTGATGGAGACAGCAGCAATGGGAGGCCGTACAGGGACCCATGAGAGACTCCTGGACCTGGGCAGCAGCATGAGGAGGCGGGAGGTACAGGGGCCCATGGCAGATTACGGGCCTGGCAGCAGCAATGGGAGGCCCGTAATCTGCCAGCACACCTATGACAAAATGGAACACACCAGCAGTGTGAGGAGACCTGAAAGTGGCACATGGCAGAGTGTGGCGATGGAGACAGCAGCAATGGGAGGCCATACAGGGACCCATGAGAGATTCTGGACCTGGCAGCAGCATGAGGAGGAGGCGGTACACTGTTTTCAGGGGCCCATGGCACATTTACGGGCCTGGCAGCAGCAATGGGAGGCCCGTAATCTGCCAGCACCCTATGACAAAATGGAACACACCAGCAGTGTGAGGAGACCTGAAAGTGGCACATGGCAGAGTGTGGCGATGGAGACAGCAGCAATGGGAGGCTGTACAGGGACCCATGAGAGACTCTGGACCTGGCAGCAGCATGAGGAGGCGGTACAGGGGCCCATGGCAGATTACGGGCCTGGCAGCAGCAAATGGGAGGCCCGTAATCTGCCAGCACCCTATGACAAAATGGAAACACACCAGCAGTGTGAGGAGACCTGAAAGTGGCACATGGCAGAGTGCGGCGATGGAGGACAGCAGCAATGGGAGGCCGTACAGGGACCCCATGAGAGACTCTGGATCCCTCGGCAGCCAGCATGAGGAGGGCGGAAAGGGTACAGGGGCCCATGGCACATTACGGGCCTGGCAGCAGCAATGGGAGGCCCGTAATCTGCCAGCACCCTATGACAAAATGGAAACACACCAGCAGTGTGAGGAGACTGAAAGTGGCACATGGCAGAGTGTGGCGATGGAGACAGCAGCAATGGGAGGCCGTACAGGGACCCATGAGAGACTCTGGACCTGGCAGCAGCATGAGGAGGCGGTACAGGGGCCCATGGCAGATTACGGGCCTGGCAGCAGCAATGGGAGGCCCATAATCTGCCAGCACCCTATGACAAAATGGAACACACCAGCAGTGTGAGGAGACCTGAAAGTGGCACATGGCAGAGTGTGGCGATGGAGACCAGCAGCAATGGGAGGCCGTACAGGGACCCATGAGAGACTCTGGACCTGGCAGCAGCCCATGAGAGGCGGCGGTACAGGGGCCCATGGCACATTTACGGGCCTGGCAGCAGCAATGGGAGGCCCGTAATCTGCCTGCACCCTATGACAAAATGGAACACACCAGCAGTGTGAGGAGACCTGAAAGTGGCACATGGCAGAGTGTGGCGATGGAGACAGCAGCAATGGGAGGCCGTACAGGGACCCATGAGAGACTCTGGACCTGGCAGCAGCATGAGGAGGCGGTACAGGGGCCCATGGCACATTACGGGCCTGGCAGCAGCAATGGGAGGCCCGTTGAATCTGCCAGCACCCTATGACAAAATGGAACACACCAGCAGTGTGAGGAGACCTGAAAGTGGCACATGGCAGAGTGTGGCGATGGAGACAGCAGCAATGGGAGGTCGTACAGGGACCCATGAGAGACTCTGGACCTCAGGCAGCAGCATGAGGAGGCGGTACAGGGGCCCATGGCACATTACGGGCCTGGCAGCAGCAATGGGAGGCCCGTAATCTGCCAGCACCCTATGACAAAATGGAACACACCAGCAGTGTGAGGAGACCTGAAAGTGGCACATGGCAGAGTGTGGCGATGGAGGACAGCAGCAATGGGAGGCCAATACAGGGACCCATGAGAGACTCTGGACCTGGCAGCAGCATGAGGAGGCGGGTACAGGGGCCCATGGCACATTACGGGCCCTGGCAGCAGCAATGGAGGCCCATAATCTGCCAGCACCCTATGACAAAATGGAACACACCAGCAGTGTGAGGGAGACCTGAAAGTGGCACATGGCAGAGTGTGGCGATGGAGACAGCAGCAATGGGAGGCCGTACAGGGACCCATGAGAGACTCTGGACCTGGCAGCAGCATGAGGAGGCGGTACGGGGGCCCATGGCAGATTACGGGCCTGGCAGCAGCAATGGGAGGCCCGTAATCTGCCAGCACCCTATGACAAAATGGAACCCACCAGCAGTGTGAGGAGACTTGAAAGTGGCACATGGCAGAGTTAACATGTTTGGGGCATGATTCATGGCGGATTTAGTCAGTTGTGTCAGGAACTGGTGGTTTGAAATCCAGACTAATCCACGCCTGATTCATTTTCACAAACGTGAGTCTCTCCACACTTTGGGTGGACAGTCGTGTCCTCCGTGGAGTTACAATACCTCCTGCCGCACTAAACACGCGCTCCGATGCCACGCTACTGTCCGGGCATGACAGCCTTTCAAGGGCAAATTCAGCTAGTTGGGGCCAAAGGTCAAGTTTCGTTGCCCAGTAGTCAAGGGGATTGTCCTACCTCGGTTGGCAGGGTGCTGTCCAAGTAGGCCCAAGCCTGTTGTTTGAGGTCCTGCTCCAGCTCCACCTGATGCTGCTGCTGCTGCGGCTGGTTAGTAGTTTCCCTCACTGCGCTGGTGAAGAAAAGCTACTCATCATCGACTGCAGACTGAGGCAGCAGCCGCTGCTGGTGGAGCTGCCACTGCTCCTACTACCACCCCCACCCCTCCCCTGCTGCCATGGCAGCGGAACGCGAGTGCACCAGGGCCCACAGTGTCTGAGGATGGAGACGTTGGCGCAGAAAGGCAGAGACCAACTGACTACATAGGTGGTTTTTATAGTACGTTTATTTTGGCCATCCCTCTCAGCAGGTGTGAAAAAGGCCACCATTTTTGAACGGTAGCGAGGGTCCAACAAGGTGGACAGCCAAAAAGTCATCCCACTCTGTCTGATGGTTATTATTCGGCTGTCGCTACACAAGCAACCGAGCATGCTATGGGCCATTTGTGCCAAGGAATGCGAGGGAACTCCCTGCCTCCAGTCTCCACAGCATACTGCCACGGTGCGTCTGGGTCCTCTGTCTCCTCCTCCTCCTCCTCTACCAGATGCTCCTGCTCCTCCACTCCTGTCCGCTGAGTGAGAAAAACCACACCATTTCACTCAAATTATTCCTGAGCACCAATGTCCTCCTCTACCTCCTCCTCTTCTTCCTGTCCTGCCCCCACAGGGGTCATGTGGCGTTGAGATCTGTGCGCCCACGTCTACCGCACCCTGACCAGCCATTGTTAACAGCATTTGTTTCCAGGACGTGCAACAGAGGAATGACGTCGTTCATCCCATAGTCTCCTGCCGACTCACGAATAGCGTGGCCTCCTCAAAGGGCCTGAGCAAAGCGGCAGGTGTCACGCATGAGCTGCCAATGGCTGACATCGAAGTTACACAGGGGTGTACCTTTATCCGCTTGTAACATCAGGAAATCGGTGATGGCCTTTCGCTGTCGTAAAGGCGGTCTACCATGTGTAGGGTTGAATTCCACCTTGTTGCAACGTCGCAGATCAGGCGATGCTGTGGAATTCCGTTTCTGCCGCTGCAGCTCAAGGAGGGTGTGCTTTGCGGTGTAGGAATGGCTGAAATGCATGCAAAGTTTACGTGACATTTTAAGGATGTCTTGCAGTGGGATGGTGGATTTTAGGAACCGCTTGACAACCAGATTGAACACGTGAGCCATGCATGGCGCCATGGCACAACCTTCCTTGACGCAGAGCAGACACCATGTTCTTTCCGTTGTCGGTCAACATGGTTCCGATTTTAAGTTTGCGCGGAGACAGCCATCTGTCGATTTCTCTGTTCATTACACTCAGAAGTTCCTCCCCTGTGTGACTACGTTCGCCAAGGCATACCAGGTGCAGCACAGCGTGACACCGTTGCGCCCTGCACATGTGATATGCCGGTCGGGTAATGGGACTTGGCACGGGGGGTGCGGTGGCGGCTGAGGACACGGCGGAAGAAGAGGTGGTAGAGGCGGACATCTTTGCTGGACCAAGGACATGCAAACGTGGAGGCAAAAGCGGGCGTGACCTGTCCAAGTTGCTGGTGCGGCTGTGCCGGCACCACGTTCACCCAGTGGGCCGTAAATGACATGTACTGTCCCTGACCGTAGTTACAGCTCCACATGTCGGCGCTGCCGTGCACTTTGGCAGAGACCGACATGCTCAAAGACTGGCCCACCATCTCTTCTACATGTGAATGCAGGGCTGGCACTGCCTTTTTGGCGAAGAAATGACGGCTTGGCACTCTCCACCGCGGCGCGGCACAAAGCCATCATTTCTCGGAAAGGTGCTGAGTCCACCACTTGGAAAGGGAGGGACTGCAGCACCAGCAACTTGGACAGGAGGACGTTCAGCTTCTGCACCGTCGGGTGCGTGCTCGCAAAACTGTTGTCTCTTGGAAACGGATTCCAAGAAAGACTGCTGACGGAATCCGTGAAGAGGAGTAGCAGGAGAAGGAGCATCTGAACGAGCGGAAGATGCCAACGAGCGACAACTCCCTCAGCAGAGGTGTTGGAGCCTTGACTGGCTGATAGAGGGCGATTGACGTCGGGTGACGGAGCAAGTAACGGAGCGGGTGATGGAGCGGGGGGCTGGGGCAGGCAGAACCGCCGTATCTTTATCACGGTTTTCCCAGGCCACCAAATGGCGACGCTGCATATGCTGACGCAACGCTGTAGTCCCAACATGGGCCCCCTGGCCACGCTTGACTTTCTGGCCACATAGTCGACATACGGCTACGTTTACTTCCTCGGGCGGCTTGACAAAAAATTGCCACACCGCCGAGTAGGAAACTTTGCCCCCGCTACTCCTCACTGGCTGACTGCTACTTCCTCCGTGCACACCGGCACCACTACTGGCCTTGGTGGTAGGCTGCAGTGGAGCTGGTGCTCTACTCCGTGGCCGTTTGCCTCCACTGACACTGCTGCGACCCTGCTGCCTCCTGGGCAACCCACCGACTGTTTTGCTCACTGCCAAGCTGCCACCCTCTTCTCCTGATGATGCGGAAGCAATAGCCTGATGACGACGAGGCTGCCAAGTGCGATCAGCCTCATCATCATCAATTAGGGTCTCCGCCTCACTACTAGCCCCCTCGGCTGCGTGTGGGTCAGGAGACAGACCTGTCTCTAGACCGGCTACCGAGCCACTCTCCTCGCCAGTACTTCTTCGCCTGGCTGCTGAAGAGGCGGATGTCTCCCCCCGTTCCTGACCGCCCTCTGTTAGCTCTTCCTCACTGTACAGTGGGGCTGAGCCCACAGCATGCGATACTTCGCTTGGTGAGGGAACACCAAAGGACAGTGGCAGGTAGAGGACACGTGATTTCAGTGGGCTTGCTCCCGGGCCATGCCAACTAACGGTTGTGTCTGACGTACCCACCGACCATTGGCTGTAGGTGTCAGAGGTGACCTGGGAAGAGGAAGACGACCGAGCCAACCAATCGATGACGGCAGGGTTGTCGGTGGAGACACGACCGCTGGATGACACCGGGAGCACTGGCCTCTGGCTGCGACTAGTGCTGCCTCGACCCCTTCCTCTGCTGCCACGTCTGCTCGCTCCTAAAACATTGCCTCCTCTGCCACTCCTCTGCGTGTTGTCTAACATACTCTTTAATTCAACGATTCTGTGTCCCTGAGTAACAATTCTGTGTCTGTCCCTGAGTAACAATTCTGTGTCCCTGAGTAACAATTCTGTGTCCCTCAGTAACAATTCTGTGTCCCTCAGTAACAATTCTGTGTCTGTCCCTGAGTAACAATTCTGTGTCCCTCAGTAACAATTCTGTGTCCCTCAGTAACAATTCTGTGTCTGTCCCTGAGTAACAATTTCTGTGTCTGTCCCTGAGTAACGGTTCTGTGTCCCTAAGTAACGGTTCTGTGTCCCTAAGTAACGGTTCTGTGTCCCTAAGTAACGGTTCTGTGTCCCTAAGTAACGATTCTGTGGCCCTAACTCTGTCCCTCAATACAGACAGGTGGTCTGTCTCTCTTGAATGACTGGAGGCTAATGGAGAATTCTAAAATGGCCGCAATTTATAGCTCGACCATTACACAGTGCTGGCTGGCTGCTGATTGGCTAATGCGATCACATGTCATGAATGAATGCATTATGGGTCAGCGCGCCTTGTCTGCGCGCCTTCCCAGAGATCCCCGCTCCATCGCCGCACATGTAGCCGCCATTTTTGGAAAAATTTCGATTCGCGCATCCGAAGTCTGCTAATTTTCCTAATATTCGAAACGAATTCCACTTCGCCAAGTTCGATTCGCTCATCTCTAATGAGTACTATGCACAGGCTCCTTAGGACTCTTCCTCTAGCTCCTTGTCTGTACAGAAAAGCAGACTTTTCATTAGGCTGGCCATAGATCTTTTTTTTTTTTTTCGATCAGCCAGCTGGCTGATCACAAAAAAACAAGCGGATTCCTTCATCCACACAATTGAGGTGGATGGAGAAATGTGCTGTTGTATTCTGACAGCAAGGACTTCTCCACTGTCAGAATACACTGATCAGAGCCGCATCCAATTGGTTGCAGTGCTGATCGAAGGAAGATTTTCCAACATTCCAGTTTAAAAGAAGCCAATTGTTAAATCAACTTTCCTGGAGCGGGAGCAGCCATAGATGGATCAAAATTCTGAACCATCTGAAATTAGATTTATCTATAGTCCACTTTAGAGAGCTGGAAAAAGTGTCAATGGACTAACAAGTGTGCTGATTACCGCACTTGTGTTCTATGCCGTGGTGGCAGACGGGACTTGTAGTTCATTCACAAATTTCTGTAAATGAATAATATGGCTGTGCGGACAGAACCCCACATAAAAGTGCAAGATTCAAACATGACAGCTGCTGCAGGGGAGAATAACCCCTGTATGCATCACAGAGGGCATTTTAGAAGTGTGAGGAGGGGAGGTCATCCTAAATATGTGTGAAAAAAGGTTTAAAAAGTGGAGTTAACCTTTTAGTTCTCCTTGAAGTGTACCTGTTGCTAGGCTAGGAAATTGAAACAAAGAAGACCTGTAGAAGATGTTGAATTCTTGCCTCCTTGGTCAGAGGTAAGTTAAATCTT